GTAACGGGTTAGAGGAAACTGTTATTTCAATAACATTATCGCGAACGTTCCCGACAGAGATTCGCGCTAAGCACGACGGTTCGCATCAGCGAGTCGCATCTATCTTCGATACGATTCCGTGCTCGGTAAATTATCTATGAAGAGCGAGTATATCGAGCGGCCAGAGTCCCGCTGAGACTCATCGGAGCAGCTTTATTTAGCCCTGGCCAATTCACACCAAAGATGAATCTGCTACCACGGCCGCCATCAAGCATCCGTGGCAGTCGGCTACGCGCCGTAAAATCCATACATACCAACGTCACGGTTAGACGTATATCAATCCGAACTAGACGTATATCGGCCCGTTCGGGAAAAAAGCTTTCTAGCTACGCGTCTGCACCGAGACGGAAGGTAAATCGTTTCTCACTCTGTTTCACCCTGCTTGATGTCCGTCTTTCTTAATTCGACTCGTCGTCATTGTCGTCTTAAAAGAATAAGACGAACTTCCTTGACAACGAAAAGAAAGTCGACTTAACTGTAATTACAGGCAACAAAGGTTCCTCCTCGGTTAGAAAACGTATAGTTATCGTTATCGGATTCGCGTTACGCAAATCGACTCAATTACTCGATCGTGCTTTCAATGCCTACGATCCCGTACTCGCGAACAATTAACTAATTTTTGCGTAATTGCGCCTCGCCGGCGCGGCGTTCCGAGCTATTTCTCATTTCCCGCGGAGCAATTACGGTGAAACCCATGATGATTATTTCGAGGCTTTCGCTCGGCGAACGATCGATCCTCGAAACAGTCATTAACCGATTGGAAGCGTACGTGCCCGCCACGGGAGCCGGGAAGCAAAGGGTTGTAGCTATTTGTAACAAAATTAAATTGATCCCAGCCAGCTTCGAGAGCGACGCGTTACGGATCGCCTCTCGTCGCCTCCCTCTACGATCGCGCCTTTCGCTTACGGTGTCTTCGGAGTCTTACCATCGAGTGGAGGAGAAAACGCGAGGAAATTAAAGGAACAACCAGCTGAAGGAAATTAAACCCTTCGGTCTCGCGAGATCCTTTAAGGCGGTAGCCGATCCAGCTAACAGAGAAATGATTTGATTAAAATGTAAAGGAGGTACGGACCTTCTGTTTGCGCATTTCACGGTTCGCCTGTAAAAAGCACGGGGCCACCCGTTAGACAGATGGCAGTCGCCGCACTCAATGGCCTGAGAAATTGGATCGCGTTTTAACTCCCCTACGCTTTTCAGCTTCGAGCTACAACCGGATATCGAGCTGGTGGCCGCAACCGGCTGGACCCCGCGAGGCTCGATCTCGATTTCTCGCAACAAAGAATTCGAGAAATTTCAAGTCGACCACTCGCTCGATCATCGTTGCCAACCTATCTTTCCGGCTTTCCTCGCTCGGCGAGGCCGAGTGCACACACGAGGTACCACCGTCATCTGCTGGCAATTTGCCAGCCACAGGAAAAATCGTCTCGAACAACGACAACGTTAGTCGAGCACGCACGCTTTAATCGCACGCAAACCGACCAGAAGCAATCTTCTTTATGACAACGATCGAAGATCCCCGGGGAACGGTAACTTCTCTCGAAGAAACGTATCGCGTGGTTGCTTACCTGCTCCGCTCGTGCACGCGTTTACACCGGAAACGTAACCGTCCCCTTCGACGCGACCGGCGCATTGACGAATCCTTCGAAGTAGTATAAGTACCGTCGTAGCTAAAATTGGAATACTAATTAGGTATAACCGCTTTTCTACCCTGATCGCCTGATATCGCCACGGTATAGTCTTTGATGCTTTCAACCCCGATAACACGGTCCAAACGTAGCAGCTTCTCGCTTATTGCCTTCTAATCGAGCGCAGTTACTTCTCTCTTTCTCTCCGAGCGGAAAGTAAAATCGAGAAAGAAAGGTCGGGAATGGGCGTGAAGGCGAAGCGTAGGGAGACACGGGGGGGTTGGGTGAAAAAGAAAGAGAGGAGCGTGGGTGGACAATCCGGGTGCTGGAGAGCAGAAGGTGATACGGAGGCACGGTCGAACGGTCGCGATTCGAGGAATAGTAGGGATGAACCGGACTTCTGGTGGGAGCGTGGATCCGTGTAGAGCGGGGATAACTAGCGCGGTGGGGATGCCGATGAACAGCGAAGCAACGATCGCGGCAGGGGTGTCAGAGGGGTTTCAGGAACAAACCTGGTGGCAGCAATCACCGTGAGTGGGCGACACGCGCGTCTCTTCTCTCCTCTCTCTCCTCTCCTCTTGGGTTATCAGCCTGATGAGACGACACTCGCCGACCTTCTCCCTTCAGTCCCTTCCGCCCATTTTTTCCTCCTTTTCCTCCGTTTCCGCGTTCGCGTCAGTAATCGTGTTTGAGTTACCGTCTTCCACCTAGAGCTACCGGCTTTATCACCGCACCGTTTCCATTTTTTCTTTTCTTTTCTTTTTCTTTTACAATCTCAACGCATGCAACTTGCGATCGAGTACCGATCTCGAGGCAGTTATCTGTCGCGGCTCCTGAAGAATATAAACGGAAGACGTGATAGACAGGGCTGCGGAGTGGTCCACGCATTAGCCCCGCGGGAAACGTAAGTGCGCTACTTACGCTAAACGTCCGCTCAGAGTCGGCCATATGACGCTGCCGATCGAGTAAGCTCGCCGAGGGACCGGTAATGATAGCGCAGGGGAAGCAACGCCCTCCCTGCGACATGCGGTAACGTCGTATAGACAGAGACCAAACAATTTGTATTGAAATGAGCTCTACCCTCGCGATGGCAAACGATTTTGGGGGAAAAAAGGCAGGAAAGGAGAAGGTACCTACAGGTTGGCCGTCCGAACGATCAATCCACTTTCCTGTTTCCTGTTTCCTATTTCTTACGAATATAGATTTCGCGTGGTTGTAGAACACGATTCCCTCGGTTTTAACTTGGTAATTAATATTTGAAATTATCAAATGAATCATTCGTCGTAGGTTGCCAACGTCTTCCCGGTAGAAGAAAAGTTTTTAATTTTGAGTAGAGGATTGGTTTAAATGAAATAGAAATTTTGTTAATGCAACAAGAGGTTTTATTAGTATAAACAAAATATAACATAAAAATTAGTGCGCATTAAACGTCGGTAGTTCTAGTGTTAAACGAAAGGCGATTTGCCTCGGTCGAGATCGGTCGCATCTAGCCAACCTTACCCCCCATGGTTTCGTTCCATCGAAAATCCAGATCTGACTTGCGACTAAGAGGACACGAACGACGATCGGTTCGTTGTCAACCGGACACGTTAAACGAGCATGCGTCCCTCGTTAAGGATGGAAAAGGAGCCACGTATCTCTGGATGCGGTGGACGCGTGTACGCGCGATCACCGACGGTGATCAATCACGTTCAAACCGTGCTCGTACAATGCTGTCGTGCCACTAGAATCTGCCCGCTCGAAAGAGCTATTGTTGCCACCCACGTTGTGTCTTTCTCTCGGCTTCTGCTTCTTACCTTTATCCCGTAGCGACCGTAGCCCACCCCCTGCAAACCACAAGTATTTCCCAATTTTTACATCCCCCTATCGATTGTTCGATCTACTCTACTTTGCGACCCTAACATCGCGATATCGGGAATGGAATCCTAGCGGGCACGATTCTCGTAAATCGCGTTGACCGTTTCAAAATCGAAACTTTGGATAAAAAGGTATAAATACGTGAGAAAACGTTCCCGCGAGACTTACCCTTCTCCGCGATCCGAAAACGTTTACACACGTTTGGTCCCTTCCGGATGCTGAACGGACGAAAATTTTCAAGATTTCCTATCGTTTTCGGACCGAACGAATGGTCGTCGTAAAATTAGATACGAATGCGTGTTATCGAATCCACCGTTACCCATAAAATGCTCTCTGAAAAGAATGCTGCCTGGAACCTACCACTATTAACGACTTCGACTATGATGCCTATTATGGAAACGAGTCGATGGTCTGACAAGCTGCTCCTTAACAGAAGCTCGCGTATTACGTTTCCGGGGTATAAAAATATTCGAGCTCTGCGTAATTTCTCGCGACAAGGCGACAGGTTAAAAGCTGTACTGGCCCGAACGCCGGCGTCTGGTTTAGCTTCAAACTGTATCTTAAGCGGTGATTCTTTTCAGAGACAAAATTCTCCGTCGGATAGATAGAAGCGTAAGCGACACGTGCCACTTATCCATCGCGTTATCGTGCAACTTATGGCTGGCTAGATACCAGGAACCTCGACCACTCGACGAGTCGAGTACGTCGAGACGGTTTTCGGCGACCGCAGGATCGTTGAACGCTCCTCTCGAGTTTGCCTTTGAACGACCGCCGGGAAACCACAAGCGTTGTTTGGAAGAGTAATCTACGGACGAGGCACGTGGAATATCTAATTTGTAAAGAACACTGTATCGAGTTACCTATAATGTAGACGAACGGATCGATTCGTTTCGCGTTAGTTAACGTTCATATCGAACAAATAAACGTACTCTTGTTTTTCGAAGACCCGGTATTCCTGGCTTCGTTGAGTCATAAGGAAGGAAGGTGTAGGAGGAATAGCTGAGGGAGAACTGGCGATAGAATCTTCAAGAATCGATGCTATCTCGGTGAAGGTGGAGGATGTGCCGATGTCGGAGAAGCGCAACCCTTCGAAACAGATCTCGCGCCATTAGTCAGAGTAGCGATGGTAGGAAGGCAGCATAAAGCAGCATAAACACGAAGCGATGGAGGAAGGGTGGTGGTGGTGAGGACGAGCAGGGCCGCCCATCATGCGTGGGACACCGCGTAAAAATGAGTTGTGTCAACGTGCTGCTCGAGACCCCCCGCGCCGCAACCACCAGGTGGTCAACTTGTTTTATAATACATGCTTCGTATATACCGGCTTCTTCTACGTGTTCATCTTTTTCCATCCGTCTCGGAATAACACGTATACCTAGCTGCGATCCCGCTCGATCGATCCTCGGAACGTTTTCAAAAATCCACTCGAATCTTGCGAATCCTTCAAGTACAAAACTGGACCTTTACTATCTTTTTTTTTTCTTTTTTTTTGCAACTTAGACTAATTGGTCAGCGTTGCTATCGCGCTCGATTATGGAGAAAATTGGTCGGCTGATGCATAACTCGGCTCTCTTTCTCGTGGATACGAGAATCGATTCGAGGTGATTAGCGATAATGTCAAGGCAGCACGGAGGCACGTCCGTGATGAGTCCGTGACTGGTGTACCTTTTGTGTCGGCGTGCTCAAGTTGCTCCAGTACGTCGATACGTAACCACGAATCCACCTAATTGAAGTAACCACAAGGCGCAACGCTACACAGGCAATGCAATCGAGCAAACCGACTGTACGAACACCGCGGTCAGACGGAGAAAGAGCAGTCGAGTTAAAGGAAAAGAAAAAAACAAAAAAAGCAACGAAGAAAATAAAAGGAAAAGAGGACAAAGGAAACGGAAAATAAAAATAAAAGAGAGAACGGTTCGCACGAACCACGGTGGGCAAACTGTGTACGTGTACTCGCGTACAACGACTACCTCCCGTTTCTGTCTCTCTGCACCCTACATTTCCGTTCGCACGTGCCGATTCAGAGCCAAGGAATACCGAGCATACCTTGCGCTTTCCGGATCTCCATTACTTTCTAAACGAGAAAATCCACGGAACGACGAAACGTGAAACCACCGTGCATGCCGATTGAAATTCTTTCCGGGGAGAATAATACGTCCAAATAACGAGAAAACATCTTTATGCGTAGTATAAATATATTTATGTGAATATTTCATAATGCGATTGTGTCTACATATCGTGACACGAATAGTGTTAATAAATGCCACCTCTCTTAATTGGACGCCGCGTGTGAAAATCGATCGATCGCTAAGTTTCTTGACAGACGTTCTCGATCGTTCGTTCAAGACTTATCGCTGCACGCGTATCCAGTTTACGTAACGTTAAAGTTTATGAAAAAAAAAAAATAAAAAAAATAAAAAGAAAACGTTAGGCATCGATTCTTCGTTTATCGAATAATACAGTTATGTTCGTTCAATATAACTATCATAGTAATTAAGCGTGCGAGCGACGAAGAACGAGCTCGACGCTTCTCTCGACCAGTCCATTGTGCTTTCGCTTATCTAATCGCGTGTACTACCTATCGAACGTTGCAATCGCTCTTACAAGATCGCCTACCAACGAATTTGTTGATTGAATTTTACAAAGTATAAATCCCGATTATAACCACCCTCCTCCCTCAGTCGTTTTCGTTTCTCGTACCAGTCCGTACCGTAACGAACGCTGATATGTACAAAATCAGGTATAATAAATCGGTGAAAGCAACGCGCTTCTACGGAAATTTTCTGTCACACGTAGCTGCCGCATAAAATTTTCGAAATTGTTATCGCGTGTTTGAAAATTTATTCGAAAAAAAGAAACGTCGGTAACGTGTTTTCGTATCTTTCGTTACGTGCAATCGGAAGTACCTAAACAACGTATCTATAGCGTATCATAGTCTATACATTCGTAAAGTTTCTAATACTGGTTTAGCTAGAAAGATACAATTTAATCCGGTATATTAAAATCGAACACTTTGATTTTCTTTTTCCGAAAAGTTTGATTGATTCTTTGCCGTGACGATGTACGAAACACAAAATACTATTAATCGATAGCAGCAATTCTTCTAATAGAGATATTATCGAAATTTTTAAACGATATAAAATTTTCTATGCAAAGCTTGATAAATTAGAAAATGTTTGTGCAGCATGCGTTTAAGAAAAATCTCGAAAAGCCGATAGAAATTTTATATTGCGTGGAATGTGGTCGCGATTTTAGTATGATCGTATGAAAAAGAAAAACGGTTGAAGTTGTCGCGCTGTAATATTAGCGGCTCTTAACGTGTTTCCGAAGATTAATATTTGTTTTTCCAAAAAAGGAACCATGTAAGCACGATTTTTAATTTTTTTAACAGTGCTTTATACTACGTATAAAATTCGCCGCTTGCTGTTTTTTACTCATCGCTTTGTTTTCCTCTTCTGAACGTGCATCTCTCTCTTTCTCTCTCCAAATTAATACTCTTTTTATAAGAGTATACACTTCCTCTTCTTCACTGGTTCTGGCGGTTCCAGTGCAGCTAAGATAGCCTCGTCGAACACATTCTTCAATCCTTTCTGTAACGTTAAAAACATCGTGTAATTACTGAAAGCTTGTAACAGAAACGAATGGTATATTCAATGCACGTTCTTACTTGTGTAAGCGCGCTACATTCTACGTATTTTACTGCCTTCAACTCTTTAGCCAGCTTCTCGCCTTGCTCTGCCGATATTGGTTTCTGCTTATTTTTTGCCAATTTCTCGATAGTCGCAACATCGTCTCTTAAATCAATCTGAGTACCAACAAGTAGAAACGGAGTCCTCTGACAATGATGCGTTATTTCGGGTACCCACTAAAACACGATATACGAAAAATTTATATTTTTTAAATAACAATTTTCATTTTACTACAATAATGATGTACAACCTTTTCCTTAACATTTTCAAAAGAAGACGGTGATACCACTGAAAAACACACAAGAAATACATCTGTCTGTGGATAGCTTAAAGGTCTAAGCCTATCATAATCCTCCTGTCCTATAATACAAAGAAATATTAATATTTTAGTCTTATTATAATTGTAAATTGATTCTTACCAGCAGTATCAAATAATCCCAAAGTGTACGGATCACCACCTATCATTACTGTTACCGCATAATTATCAAAGACTGTGGGTACATATTCTGATGGAAATTTATTTGTAGTATATGAAATCAAGAGACAAGTTTTACCCACAGCCCCATCTCCCACTACGACACACTTTATTGTCTGCATACTGATATCTTTGTTATATTATCTAAAACATATAAAATATATGTTAGCATAATACGTATATACATTTTTTAAGCTAATTATGAGAATAACTTTAAATGGAAGACAGTACGAATATAAATTATATACAATCTGTCAACGTGACCTTATTACGAGTTATATGAATTACGAATAATCATCCAAGCACCTTAATACTTTGCATACAAGTAAAACGATAATTACACCTGTACAATTTACCAAGTTGCACGAAATATACATACTCAATACGGATTTTCCCGTAAATCATATGCGAGCTGGGTTAGCCCTTAACCTACAAATAAGTAACTAACGCCCCACACAGAAATATGAAATTATTTAAAATCTTACGCTACTTTTTATAAAGATGAAAGCCTCGTATTGTCTTCTACATTTATTTGACATTTGTTACTGAACCTTAAAATAAAATCGTGTTAATCCACTTAATGAAAAACCAAGTCAGTTACCTACAACTGTAAGTTTGTCATTAAAGGCTAAAATTATAGTTCATAATCTTAAAATACAGCGGGAAAATAATGCGAGATATTTGAAACGAAAATAAAACACTACATAAACACATCTAATACTCCGGCACTATCGGTTATAATATATTCTACCGTACTTTATCACGAAATATACATTTCCTCTGACGGATACTGATTCTGAATGCTTGACGCACACGCCTAAAATCCAGTACGCATGATAACCAAGCTACGGTAACGCCTTTGAAGGAATCGTTTGTAACTTGCAATTATAATTTTAAATACAATGAGAATTAATACTTAATTATTATTTATACTAAAATAATAGCAACAACGGCAAATAGTAACATTATTAATTTCAATCATTATGCGCACATCGTATTATTCGTTCAACGAAAGATCGTACCTGTCATGCGACGCATTTTCGATTCGCTCTGCGCATGCTTCGTCTGCGCAAGCGCGTTATGATGAACCGCTCCATGCTGAAGCTGAAGCACGGCAGTAGGTCTTCGGACGCGGAAGAGAGTAGGTGGGGGGTGCTTTTTTTTTTTTTTTTTTTTTTTTTTTTTTTTTTTTTTTTTTGCGCGATGCTAGCGTGATCTATACGAAAATAGCTCAAACTATTCAATTGGTTACCCATCCAGATGGTAACACTGTCGGAAGACAACGGAAGTAGTTTCCGCTACCTCTGGATAGATGGCGCTAATGTTTCCCTGTTCAGTAGTTTCAGCCGTTTTTGTATAGATGACATAGGAATCGAATTTTAAACAAGTTTGTCATACAATTATTATATTTTTTACTGTTGTTCTCTGTGACTGATTTGTAAAAAAAGTACAATTAAAGAGAATCAAAATTGTCTCCTTCCAATTGTCAGTGTAATCTGTGGACAGTCAAGACATCGCTGAGCCGTGCGAAATAGGTATGTTTTATCGTTGAACGAATAATTCAAATTTGTGACAAGGATTTTGAAAAAAGGATGCAATATCACACGTAACAACTAATCAATCAATCATTATATTTTTTTAACTTAGCTAAATACAAGAGTATTATACATGCTCACTATAAAGTTTCGTATATGTGTATAAAAAACCATATTAATCACAAAATAATTAAAAATTTGCCACTTTTCTAGGATACAAAAATACATTATAATTTATCCCCTGCATACATAAAATGTACAATTTCCTTACTTCCTAAGGATGTCTATCAATCTATTTTAAGATTTCATTTCCTATAATTACTATCTCACTTCAGGTTTTGAGAATGGTTGAAGAGAGCCTGGTTGTACCCAAGACAAACCCAATGCTTTATTTTCTTCTTCATCCTAAATCGTGTAATCGTGTAGTTACAATTTGTTCATAAATTAAATAATGTTTATATATATTTCTAACCTTGGATTGGTAAATTTCTTGTTTAATGGAATCATAAAGCTCTCCAACATATGGACTAAAAGTAATGTAATGAGGATCATCAACTGGAGGTGGATCGTAAACTCTGTTTAAACTCTCTCTTACACATTTTTTTACACGATCTCGAAAACCTTCAAAGTTATTTTCTAATCTGTAATATATAAGTAATGTATCAGGTGTGTACATTCAACTTCAATATCCTGACATAACATTATCCATGCACTCACAAATTAAGTGCTTCTTGGTTTACAGCATTCAGTTTGACATCAACTTTAGTCAGTACTTTTGTTATGAATTGTACCAACTGCCAAATTCTATTGCTTTTCCTCCATTCAGAAAAACTCCATGTTGTGCACAATTCTCCAGATTCAGGATCGATTAAAGGATGAAAAACTGGAGTTTGAAATACAACTTTCTAAAATTTGTTTAAAATAATTATATTGGTATGGTTCTAATGTAGTCCATGGTAAAACTATTATATGTTAAAAAGTCTTACAGGACAACCCCCATCTGGAAAATTTTGAGGTAGTGTAATATTAAATCTGAAGATTCCTCCTTGATAAATTCCTTGCCGGACAAATTGTACACCAAACCATACTAACATAAAATAATTCATTATAATTTAGTAGATGCTTGTTGGAAACCTAAGTATAAGAAATGGTGGCAAACAATAAATCATGCACATATTTACATGGAAACCATTATATAGGGTGAAGTCAGGATAAGCAAGACCTAAGAATCAATTGATAATTGGCCTAAATAATTTAAGCACAATTCTTTTTGTACATAAAGTGTTTTGAAATAAAAAATTAATCTTTACTTATATGTGTTACTTACATAAGGAATTCTGAGCAGATGGTATAACATATACGCCCTTCAGATCTTGTGTGCACAACATGTTGCTATAAAGAGAATTATTTTATTTAATGATAGAGGTTTATACGACGATATACATTTTGTGGGAGACATCTTACTATTCTGATAAAATGTTATACTCTTGCAAATAAATTGCATATTCCTTATTAGTTTGCGAAACGGTCGGCCTGTCGATCATTTTCACAGACATACTCAATTGGGAATCTCCATTGGTATTCAGAGGCAGTAATTTCCTAAACGAACCCTGTCTTCTTAGATTATTATCCTTATTAGTATCTCCCTAATATTAACAAAAATCTGGTGTTATTTTCTAACTTTATACTTTCATTACCGAGAATGAAATAGGACATGTAATTATTCTTCTTTTCCGCATTACCTTTATTCCTGACATAATGATATTATATGTATTACGTTAAAAAAATATCCTCTCAATTATTATCGATATTGATAATTTTAAATAACGAAATCACCTCCCATACTTTTACAAACTGCGACGGATGATTAGTAACATAAACTAACGGTAGAAAAGATGTGTGTTATTCGTTAATTGAGTTTGGGGAATCTACCGTCGATCATTTTCCTTGTAACAGTGACTACTGTAGTCACTGCTCTTGCAATACGCAATACTCCATCTCACAGATCAACGAATAATATTTGCCAGCAATGAATGTCGATAAATATCAATAAAAAGTTGGTAACTTTTCTATAGATGAAGGCGTTGTCGCTCAGATCATTTTTTATTTCTTTTACGTATTATGCATATGTTTATATTTATGGATATTTAGAAGTGCAACGTCTACGTCTACAGTCGATAAAGAGGAACAGAAAAGGGAGGCAAAGAAGTCTCGTGTGACAAATAAATAGCACGAACAACGCCGATAGGTTCTCCACAATCTCTTAAAAAGTCCAACCTTCCGCCTTCATAAGGTGTATAAACTTTGATTAATATCGAAGTCCGACAACTGTCAAATGACAAGTCTGCTTCGAATAATACTATTTAAAAGTTGAAATGGCAGCAGAAATAAAGCCCGCTCCCGGAGTGAATCATGATAAATTCAGCACAAGCCGGAAGCCTATACTTTTATCAAAATTGGAAGGATGTAACGACGATGTCAATGCGGCGATCATTATACCGCGGGAAGATGGTGTGATTAGTGTTTGTGATGACAGGTAGATTAAACTATTTTATTGAATAATGAAATTCTCTTTTGAAAAGATTTATTGAAATAACTGGTTTAGATACTTTTTAATTTCATGTTACTAAGAAGGTAATCTAACATTCATGTTTATCTAAATTCATTTTATTATAATTTTTACAGAACGGTTCGAGTTTGGTTGAAACGCGATTCGGGCCAATATTGGCCGAGCGTTTGTCAATACATGGCTGCTGGGGCAACATCCATGAATTATTGTGTCCAAACTAGACAATTATTTGTCGGTTTGGAAAATGGAACAATAAATGTGCGTATCGTGCAAGCTTTTTATATTATTATCAACAGTTTCTTTATTTTAGAATAAATATGTTAGGTGTTAATTTTAGGAATTCATTTTGGAACAAGATTACAATCGAATGACTGCCATGCGTGAATATGCAGCGCATCAAGCAAGAGTCACAGGTGTTATATTCGCCCCAAATTGTGAATGGGTTCTAAGCATAGGTCGGGATAAAATGTTTCAATTACACTGTTCAGAAACAGGGCAGAAATTGGGTTCATATCAGACAGATGCCTGGTATACTGCCTTGCAGTATCCTTTTTTCATGACAAATTACATATAATATACTATTTGTTTGCTTATTCTGTTGTCCTGTTTATAGGAATTTTCATTTAATATTAAGAATTTCCTTAACTCGCTTAGATTTGACGCGCAATCGAAACATGCTTTTATCGGTGATTACTCTGGACAAATAGCAATGTTAAAGTTAGATACTAACGGTGTTACGCTAATCACTACGTTAAAGGCACATACAGGAAGTATTCATACCTTAGCATGGGATTCTGAAAAACAGCTTTTATTTTCTGGTAGTTTTGACCAAAGTATCATAGTATGGGACATTGGTGGACGTCAGGGTACGGCGTATGAACTTCAAGGACATCAGTGAGCCACTCAATTTATTAGAAACATTTCCGAATAAATGGTATATTCTACAATTTTATTTATAATATCGCAGCAACAAAGTAACGGCACTGTGCTACGCAAGTGCCGAACGCGTATTATTGTCCGGTGGAGAAGATGGGGTAATTGTGTGTTGGGATATGGCTGCGAATAGAAAAGAAACTGCAGCATGGGTAGAGTCAGATACATGCCAGGTATAGAATTACGGAATAACAAATTGTTTAATAATTGCCCTTTTGATTCACCTACTATTAGTACCATATTGAATTTAGGCTTGTGGAAGACCATTCTTTTGGAATATCAAAGCAATGATGGACCAACGACAACTTGGTCTGAGGCAGCATCATTGTCGTCATTGCGGTCGCGCATTGTGCGCACGATGTACGTCTCAACGAATACCGATACCAGCAATGGGTTTTGAATTCGAAGTTAGAGTGTGTGATCCATGTTACATTCAACTTAAAGCTGCAAAGTAAGCGGACGGTTATCTAATACTTTAAAGGTTAAAGAGGAAAAATGTTATTCAGTAAATCCGTTTGTTATATAGCCAAACTCCTTTAGCATCTTTCCATGATGCGAAACATAACGTTGTTGGAATGGATCTTGATGCGTCCAGACGAAGATTATTGACGATCGGGCAGGATCGTCTGATTAAAATTTGGGATATTTCCGCGCTTCTTCAGTGAACTTCCATACATGTTAATTTATAATTAACAAAACTAATCAAATCGTAAGGTATAAGAGAAACCTACTACCATATTTCAGTGTAAAAATTCGTTATCCAAAGCTTATTTTGTAATCATGAAATCACAGTTTGCTTCTTGTACAAAAAGTTTTATGACATTCAAACATTCTATAATTCCGAAATAGTATAACATTTGTAAAATCACTAAAACATATTTTACTTGGAAACATCTTTCTCAACAGAACAAAAGGGATAACAGGATAACTTATTAAGAATCTAATATATATTAGTCTATTTTTTAACATTTCTTACTTTGTGCAATCACTTTTTAAAAAACGACCAAAGCATGAATCGGTAGAATATGTCATCATAATTTATTACAACGAATTATTATTTTCAATCAAAGTACATACAAGAAGGTAAAATTCATACGAATAACGCGATGGATACGAATGAACTGTTTCTGTTGCAGAAGAGCAAAATATTGAAAGATAATCCGTACCATATGACAATGTTATTTTAAACTATAAAATTGAATTATATTAAAAATTTGTTAAAGCAGTGGAGAAATTTACAAATAAGTCATTATAGCTCCTAGTCGTTCTGTTTATCTTATTCCTAATTATTTAATATCGTAACTTCTAATAAGTAACTAAACAGACAGTTCGTTATTAAAATTGATTGATTTCTCGTCGTCGACTTCTTAACAGATAATTCAGAAACAGGCATAGGTTATGCAAAAATAGTATGTTAATTGAAAAGCATAAATTAGTGTTTCAGTTGTAATGATATTCGTAGCGATAATATTTATCCTAGTATAAAGTTACAACGAAGAAACGCAATGTTTCTATTTTAATTATTTCTTCTACAGTTATTTGTAATTATACATACATCGATTTTACTTAACATAATTATGCATATCTTGTGCCTGAATATAATTACTGTTAATCGTGCTGGAGCGATGTACCAAATAGCATTGATTTCTCTACTGTATCTAGTGATAAAGGTAGTTGCGGTAAGAGAGATTACATTTATCGTCATAACGCACTAACGTCATAAGATTGCATTTTAAGCGAATGTTCAACCATAATTTGGTGCAATAGTTTCTACCACAGTGGAATTCATCTTCATTTTTAAACGTATCTATTCCATATGTTTTTAGAACAACTTACGAAGTTGCAGCATATTATTATAAATACTTTGTACGTTGTTGAAAGAATACATGCTTCCAGATTAATTTCTTTGTGCTCTGCGTATTTAATGTTATGCTGCGTATTAATAATGCTCACGATAAAGGTTTCGATCGTTTCGAAATATATATATATAAATGTACGTGTACGTGTACTCCTCCATCTAATTTATATACTTATTAAGACGTAGGCTTTACCATTGTCTCATATCGTATGCAATAGGATATACAGGATTTGTTGCATTATGTTATAGAGAATCGCTCGTTTATACAAATAATTTATACTCGATCAAATTAAAGATTATTTTTAGCGTTTGCTCAACGTTATGGTTTTCGTTGCTGTTAGAACCAACGAGTCGGTAACAACGTAGCGTGATATTTTTCTGTAATTTTAGTAGAGAACCGATTGAGATGCTCGTAAAAGATAGATCGTTGAAAAGAAGGTGTCGTTCTCGTTGTACGAAAAAGGAAAACCATGTTTATATATAGAAATGATTTTATAAAATCGTTAAATCAATACGCATAACGTCGCCAATGTTGTTATTGTTGCTGGAATTTTCAATACTTTGCATGTTGATGTACATGTTACGAGTTATCACAGTATATGTATGTACAACGTTCATGTGAAGTTCGTATGGAATGAAAATATATTTTCAATGTAAGCGATTCATTTTGCCTGTGTTACCCTGAGTTAGCGAGGAACATGCAAGGTAACCAGTTTGAATCGATTTTCGCGCCAAACGCGGTGGGTACTGCAGAGAAAATCTCGGTCCGTAATAGTAGAACGCCTGGAGAACGAGGAAAGGGAACATAGATGGCATCGAATCGCAACAGGTTGTACGTGCATTGCGAGGAATGACGTCACGATCGAAACAAGACACAGAGTTAAAGAAGATTTAGGGGTCTTCAAAAGGAGAGTCAAAGACAGAGAGAGGGCCGTCAAAAAGACGATTCGGTGGCCTGGCTCGAATCGTTGTCAAGGTAGTATGAGCTTTGGTGGGGTGCAGACGAAGTCGAAGCCGATCGTGGCCTAACTCAAGGTAGTTTTTCCACCTCTTCCAGTTACTTCCACCTGGCACGCCCGATTCGAACCGAAGCTCCCCGAGTGGACGCGTTAATGTGCCGGTCACCGTGGCCCATTCTCCGTAACGACTACTGTTGCTTTTCGTGTCCCATTTCCTAACACGGTACACGATCTTTTCCTCTTTCCACGTTCGCCGCTTCTGCCAAGCGCCAAGCTCCGACGATCATCTCTAGTCACGTCGGACATGAAAAGCGCGCTTTACGTCGCGTCCGAAGTGCAGTGCAGTGCCTCTTAATGGAGTGTGCCGACATCGTGTAGCCGCTTTCGTCGTGTTTCTCGTTACTCGCACAAGGTACGTTTAAATTTCTTCGTTTGCCACGCGATCGACATTCGTTCATTGGAATTCTGTATGGTCGATGATAAAGGATTTCTTTGTCAGCTAAACGCGTATATATTTCGTTCGAATGAATCCTGACGTCGACTCCGGAACCGCGTCCTTCCTCCTTGTAGATCGAACGGATGCATTATCCGATAGAGACGATTCTTTTATTACCGCAATTAATATCGACGCCTGTAATTACTAACAAAGTTATCATATATTTTTCTTTCTTTCAATGATGTACACGGTAATGATCATTCATCGTAAAGCGTACAGGTGTAACGCAGCGTAGATACCAAGGTAGCCCGAGGAGATTACAGACCGATGACTGTTTCATATAATTTTGGATTTCGCGTATGGGTATCGTGATAATAAACGGAGGAGATAAGCGTAACTCTCAGATAAAACTAGCATCTTGTTCTCTGTAAAATTCTCCAGTGTTTACTAAACGATCTCGTACCCGAGACGTCTGAGTTTTCGCCGATCAACCGGATCGGTTTTCCCTCTATCGGTAACGCTTCGAAGCTGCGCGTATTCTCTCGCGGGAAACGTTTCGCGACACTACGCGATGCATTAAATGTTTTCAACTTCAATAGCGTCTTTTTCTTCTCGATTTTTTTCCTCGATCCGCATAGAAATTGCGTCACGACGAATCGGATCGAGTCGATTCGAGAAGGAAAGAAGGAGAGTGGAATAGAGGGAAGATGCACACGTGGAAAGCGAACGTGACGTAAGGAGCAAAAGGCTCGAATCAACGGACCGAGTAAACGGGGAGTCATCTTAGATATATTATTGTCATATTTCTTAGAAAACACTCGGATCGGTAGAGATGTCAATTAGAATCGAAGGAAAACGAGCGCGCACGGTCACGCGTCGTCGTTCGATCAGCCGTTAAAGTCTCCCGCACGCGGTGCGATCGCAACGTCGCTCACCGTTCTCCGTTCTCGATATTTTCAAAGTCGACCAGTAAAGATATCGAACCGCATTCCGTTTTTCAAGTTCAAGGAAAAAGATCGAGTCTCCGTACTACTTTTCTTTTCAAAAATCCATCTCAGCAGCAGATCAGTTCAGAATCGATCGATCTCGATTTTGCATCGGAGAGAAACGATATAATTTCCCAAGGCTCTATGGTAATTTCGATCTCATCGATCCTCAGACCAGTCTGTCATCGATCAATCGCGAAAGAAGAGAAAATTGATGGACGCGATGCGGTTCGCCGATCGAAGAGTTTACTCGTGCGAACATAATTCGAATGGATGCCGGACTTTTAGCGAACGAAATCGATCCCAGTGACGCGTAAAGAGCAATTTCGATGCGCTTCTCGGGTTTAGAACAATCGGATATTCATTCGACTTCTCTCGATTTCAATTTCTTCGATTCGACGTGGTAAACGGTAAAATGTACGGTCCCGAAATTGATAGGCACACGTTGGTAGAGAGAAGAATTCTCATGTACGAATATGTGGTAGCAGCAGAAACTGCCTAACCCACTTTTGCGAACAGGTTTATGCTTGTGCTGCTTCCACTTTAACGGTGATCGGTCAGACATCATCGTCGCAGGTCGGAATGATTTTTCCCCGTGATTTCCCCAGAATTTCCCGAAGGTATCGACAGTAGATCATGGGGCATAATGGCACGGGCGCTGTCCGGCCGGCCGGGCAAAGTCTGCCCGTGCCTGAATGTAGAGGAAGGTTGCCTTAATCGGATCATCGTCTACGTAAGTCGACGCGCAAAGAAGAGTGAAAAAGCTTTGTTTCCTTTCAGGCGGAGTGCCGGCAACCACGACTTGAGAGATGGTCATCGTCACGCGGGTGAGTATCCTCGCGGAAACGATCCGATCGGTTCGCGACACGCGTTCACACGCGGTCATCCGGGCGGAGTCTCGCGCCTTCGTCCACGCTATATATCACCGCTTTCTTTCCACGCCGTTTTCTTCGAAGACGGTCAGTAGGAATCTGTGACAAGTGAAATTGACGAAGACGACCGTCCACGGATTCTTTCTCCGCGTGAAAAGTCACGTCCGAGAGACGAACTCTCTCAACGTTTCAGCGTCTCGCGAGATTTTTCATCTTTCCATAGATTTTCTCGTCGACGGTTTTGATAAATCGACGCTTGGATCGAAGAGATCGTTTTCCTCCTTCGACACGTTCGTTGCTTGATGCTTGATCCTCGATAAAGCTGGAATGCGCCTAAGGCGGGATTGAGTTCTTACGACTCCAAAGGCCGCGCGTCTCTCTTCTCTGGGAACTCTTTTTTTAAACGATTTTCTCGATGCACTCGTCCTGTCGATATTTCGTGGCAAAGGGGGCAGGAAAGAAGGCGATACGCGTATCGAGACGAATGGTCGGTTAATTAGGCATAGTTAACGGTCCTTCATCAGTCCGCGGATGCCCTGTACAACGCGCCTTAGCATTTCGCGCGAGCGAACCAGCCGTCGTATAACGGGACGTGAATCGTTTTACCGGACACGCGTTTGTACCCTCGATCGTATTCTATTCTTCTCCTGCCCGGCGTGCACTCGCGTGCCCGAACCGAGCAGGCGTTAGAAAACGCTCACGATTTTCAATCGGTCATCGGTCAGGCGTCGGTACCCTATGACCCTGCACTAGAATCTTCCTAGTAATCGGCGAAGATGCATAAAAATGAAATAAATCAACCGATCGAATCCTGACCTCCTCCTACTTTTTCGAGATCGGTTAATTAAAAATAAAGAAACGACCGAAAGTAAAACCGAACGGCAAAAGAAACTCGAAATCGAACGGAGGCTCGGTTCTTGGCTCGTAACGAGCGGACGAGCTCTTCCGATGTTCCGGAGTGGTGAACAATCGGAACGTATACGAATATCAGGCACAGTCTGCGCGTTCGTGTGTACACGTATCCGTAGAACCGAGCTAGGCTAGAGGTTCTCAAACTTTCTTTCGACCGATCTACGGATCCGGTGCAAGAGGTTACATTACGTTCTCGCGAATAAAAACGGTCTATTGTTGTTCCTATTTAAGAAACTTGGCTCCCTTAAGCGGTACCGTAGCGTAGGAACGACCTTTTCCTTTCATCATTTCTAATTAGCCGGTTGCAAAGAAAACGGTTTGAGAATATACCGAGAGGCACGTACGATCGTTAAGAGGGTTTCGTGGGAGTTTTGGCGCACCTTGACCTCTTGCCGATGGAAACGATCGAAACGATCTTTGGCAGCCGTCGACTCGTTGGAACATACCCGAGGGAGGAATGATTTTTTTTGCCGTTTCGTTTCAAGCATCGCGATCACGAGCCGTCCAGCCAGATCTTAACGCGTATCGCGTTGCGTTCCGCGTAATACCTTGCCGGAAGCCGGAGTAATACTGGTTCGCTCGGCTAACGCGATTATCGGCTGCCGTGGACGACAGCTTACCGGCGAGAAGACGCGATCGCGGCAAACGGCGACTTGTACCAGGGCTAACGTCCTTACCGTCCGTTCGAAGGGAATCGATTCGCGCGAAAAATACGGGGAAACCACCCGCGAGATATTCGGCAATGTCCGCTATCGGTTATCTCATGAGAACGCCCAAGGTGCGAATTACAATGTTAGGGAAGGAGAATTACGTACAAGCGCAATGATAACGATTCCGTTTCAGGGAGATTACATATGGATCGAGCCAATCTCAGGACGAGAATTCGACGTTGCGATCGGAGCACGAGTTATTTCCGCGGAGGGCAGACGCATCCAAGTGAAAGACGACGATAACAAGGTAATCGTTACCTACT